CTGAAGCATATGTAACCTGAGGTACCACTGTATGCTTTTCTCAGTCTATGGGCTTTGCAAGAACTGAGCCTGTCCCAAATGCTGCCTGCAAAGCACTGAAGAGCTTTAGGTTGCTTTCAAATTTATTAAAGAACAACAAAGGATTATTATTTTTTTAGTCAAAAGTTTCATTTAACTTTTTTTTTAAAATGTCAATTGGTCTTCAGGAGCTCTTCAGAAGTCTGCAGGCAGCATTTGGGACAAGCTCATTCTACAGTGGCTATTGAAGGATGTCTAAGATGGCTGGGGTGATGATGCTAATTAAAAAATAATAATGTACAAGAACACAAACCACTCAGCCACCTCTCAGTTATTTCTTCAATTTCACAAGGATTTGAACCTACAATTGCATCAATGAATTCAACAGCAATCAACAGAAACATGATTATGACTCTAGATTCAGTTAGGTAGCCGTGTTGTTCTGACGCAGTTGAAATAAAAATAATTAAAAAATTGTCCAGTAGCACCTTCTAGACCAACTAAGTTTGTTCTGGTATTAGCTTTCGTGTGCATGCACACTTCTTCAGATACAGTCATATGATTATAACTGTAAACTCCCTATACAGAAGATCATTTTTTCTTCCAAATTATTGACCCCAGTATGATTTTAGCTTATATAACAGATTAACTTTTCTGTGGATTGCCTTGATGCATGTTTTCAATCAGAAAAATGCCCAGGTTGCCCGACAACGGGTTGGTTGCTCTGTACTTTCTCATAGCTCATTGCAATATATCAAGTGTTCAGCCAGGATTAAAATGTCAGTTGCATAGAGAGACTGAACACTGGGGTGCCTTAAGTATTCTGCTGGGTTGTTTACTGAAACCATCTGAAAGGGGATATATTTCTTATTTAATTGCATGCGTCTCACCCAGCATCTCAAACAGCAAGGGCAGGATATCTTTACATGGCACAAGTGTCCTTGTAATTTTTGAGAAGTGACTCAATGTGTCATCTGCTGTGACCTGCTTAATTCACCTCCCTCTCCTCTTCTCCATTCCTTCCTTCCTTCCTTCCTTCCTTCCTTCCTTCCTTCCTTCCTTCCTTCCTTTCAGCCTTTATTATTCCTCACAGTTATTTTCTCCCCCGCTTCACTATTTAGTGCCTCCTTTCGCCTCCATTTCCAGTTTGGCACTGTTGGAAGTGCTACGTTAAGTGCTCTCAATTCTCCAACTGTGAAATGAGCGTCTTAGCAACCTTCCTTACATGGTCAACCCAAGAATTAAAAGAGGCATTTCCCAGACAGTTCATTTTTGCTATGGTACTGCACTGCAATTCTCATATGCAGTTGATCTCCTGGCTATGCAGATTTCCCCAGTTAGGAAACTGCAGCTTCACATCCCTTGTTGTGTTAAATGATTGAGGAAAGTGCTATTTGCCTACCATATGAACACAATGTATTCATGACTGCAAGTGGATGGCGACTTAAGTGTCACCAGCAACCATTAATCGGTGTCTGCGACTATCATGAGTGACCAATGACACAACTCTCCACCCCAAATTATTCAATTATCCATGGTATTTATGGATAAGGAGCCCCGGGGTGGAAAACAGGTACACAATCTAAAAAGAAAAGCAAAACAAAAAACGTTCTGAAACAGTGAAAACGTTCTAAAAACAATTGCAATTAAAACCATTCTCCTATCCAATGATCTCGGAGTTGCCAGAGGAGAGAGACATGAAGAATGGGAGAAGTGAGAGAAAGGGGAAATGTGCATATATTTGTTTATTTTTTAACAGTGTTTTATTTTTACTGCTGTAAAACCAATTGCAAAAGGCTGATTTCTCACCCGCCATTCCACAGTAGGCAACAAGCACACATTTAGTGCTTTAAATGCCACCCCAAAGGAGGACCAACAAGACCCAATACATTTTGCTTCTGAAGAAGGAGAAGCAAATACCTCTCCCCCGTCACCCCCAGAAAAGGTCAAGGTGCAGAGTATCCAAAACTGTCTTATTTTGGCATCTGAGACAGAAGATCCTACAAGGGCCCCCACTCCTTCTTTGTAGGAAATGTACAATAATAATAAACATCAGCAATCTGCTACCTTTTCTCAACACCCAAACCAGAGGAAGCTGCCTCATTCTGCCTAATATTAGGGCCAGTGACAATCACATCTTTCCCTTTCAAGCCATCATGACCCATGGTTTTCATTGACTGTGTGCACTTAAGCCATCCAAAGCCGCAACACGCATATCTTTGTGTGGGGGCAATTCTCTGAGCCTTTAAGTACTGCACTATCAACTGTAGTGCATGCATGAACTGGCCTCAAGCTTTGATAAACAAAGATGGGGGAGAAATTCAGTTCAATTCGCATTTTGCGAATTTGCACTTCCTGAAAGAAAACGCAACCATCCTTTCAATTTCACACTTCTGTTAATTTTCTGATGTAGTCCTTCTACCAAAAATGTGTACATAATTGCATATATTAGATCAAGGTGTGTTAAAAATGCAAATGTTCATCAAAATATATTTTAAATATGCATTATGTTAGGTGATTTTTGGCAACGCTGCATAGGAAAACATATATTAAAGCAGACAAGCACGCTAAAAGCCTGACCAATTCTTCTGAGAACTTTAAAAAAACCCTCACAGACTGAGGGAGAAATGTGCTGAACTAAATTTAAGATTGGAAAATTGAGAAATGGAAACTGACAGATTCATCTGTTCCAATCTGAAAGGAGAAAGTTTCCAACCTGCAGGGTGATTCTCTTGCTGTAGAAATTAGAAGTGACCCTCTCCATCTCCTCCATTTCCTGCTGCTGTGCAATTTTTTTAAGAGGAATCCTATTTCCCGTGGTTTACCAACTTGGCTCATTTGTGTACATGCTAGCATATTACAACCCCTGAGAAATAGCATACTTTGAATGCCTTATCAACAGATGATAGATCTTCCATGAAAAAGTAAATCTTGTAGGTTGATTACACTGACCTAACAGTTCCCCTAATCTTAATTCTTGCATAAAAACGTAATATTGCAAGATAGATCCTGCTGGGCCTTAATGAAGGCACATAATTTATTTCAGCTTTTTTTAAAAAAAAATAAATCCTCAGTCGTGCATAAAGGCATGAAGTGGAAATCTGAGCATTATTAAAATGATTCCATAAGCTAAGACTGCCTACCGCAGAGTTTGAGCTAAACACAGCAATGGGTGATGAGATTCAGTGGGTGGGCAACCACAATTGTCTTTTGAATTAAGTGGGGGGTGGGTTCAAGGAGGAAGAAGAGATAAAAAGGTGTCAGGTTAACAATCATGCAATTATGTGTGTGTTGAAGAAATCAGAAGTGGAATTACATCAATGTGCAATTTACTAAGAGATTTATTTCTTTTTTCAAAAGAGAATTTAGCAAATGTTTGATTTGTGTACTTGTGTCTTTAAAAACTCTAGTGTTCCACTTTATACACAACAGTGTACACAGACCACCTTGACCAAAGGACACTCGGCAGTTTTAACCTGATTATGACACAAGCACACAGCCACTGTGCTTCAGATAAAAGCACCCAGAACTTCACTGCCAAGCTTAACCCAGAAATCTTTGCTGGACTATTATGGCTCCGCAAGGAAGGCAGAGGCAACAGCAAAGAAATTGCAGCAAGGTGTAAATGAATACATCTTACATGGGCAGCCCTGGTTCTCTACATGGCGAGTGTGCAAGTTATGGGGCTGGAAATGCCTTATCCCAAGTAAGAGGCTTTGCTTAGCTAACTGATCAATGCATATAAAAATAAATAAACTGTGCTCCTCCATCACCTGTATTTCGGACCTTTCTCTTCACAATCTTCTGAAGTACTTTACAGCAGTTATTGAAATTAGTGGTGGACTAACTCCTCTCAGCTCAGTGAGGGATTGTGTTCAAATTTTCCAAAACAGTTAGACAATTTCTTTTTTCTCCCCGCCCCCAAACCCAATTCCAAATTGGGAAATGCCTTCACTCTCCTAGCGATGTCATCAGGACTGCAAAGGGGTCCAAAATCATTCGCTTCTCCCAAGCCCAAATCCCCCAGTTTCTCAGTAATTGCCCCCCATCAGGGCAACATCAATGCCATGCTCACTCACAGAGAGACAATCTTTGCACCTTTTTCAGAAAAGAGAGAGAATGTGTGTCTAGTCCTGGCCTCCAGTGAAGTATGGGAATATTTTAGGGGCCACAATCCATATAGGAGAGGCTGGACCAGTGCAAACAGAAACTGACCAGGATGAGCAAAGTCTCCTGTACATTGTGGATTTTTGAGGGGCTATTTATTGAGACCTTTTGTGAGCACCATAAGAGGTACTGCAGACACACTGGTGCCCACAGGTGTCATGTTGGAAACCCTTGTATAACTGTTCAGCCAATAGAACGAGTGAGTGAGTGTTTTCATGGTTGGGGGGTGGGTTCAGGGAGATTTGCAGACAACGATCAGTTTCAAGTCTACTTTAAGGTTTCATAAACTTTCAAAGTTAAGGTTATTATATAATGTTTTTTAACCAAACTGAGATCCTTGCATCCTCATAAAGTTACCCATTCCCAAGTTTTAAAAAGTCATGATAATTATGATTCACTTGTTAGAGAGATCAAATATTTTAATTTCTTCTGCAGAGGCTATCCTTAGCAAAAGGTCCTGGCAGACCAATTTAGTTTAAAAGCCTTGTATGGAGGGCAAAGAAGAGGTTATTAAAAGATGCATAGACTAATACAGGACTCAATAAGTCTCGCTTTCCCCCCAAAAAAACAAAGGAAGCCCATTACATTTGACCTTTCATCTTTTGAAATGATTAATCTTTACAGCAAAATTTTTCCTTAATCAGCTCTTTAATGCTAATCACAGAAAATGACTCCCCAACTTTTAGAAGCTTAATTTGGAACAATTCCTGCTTCCAATACCTCTTTGAAACACAGTCTTAAAAAGCGCAGTTCATTTCTGCTGGGGACATACTTCTAGAAGGTCAAAAAATAAAACTTGTGCTATTTCTACTCACCTTATATTAGAAGATGTATCAAACTACCCATGAACACTCATACGATATATCATTGAACATGAATGGATCCAGTGACCTGTAGAGGACAAGGTTATTGAGCAACCTATTAGACATGCTGACAAAAATACAATATTTGGGTCATATTATACAACATAAAAACAATTACTTTAAAATGTTTCACTGGGATAGTTTAAAGATACAGCTCACAAAAACAAATTAACTTAGAAGAGAAGACCTCTTTATGCATTACATTTAGAGGTGACACAGTTGGGTATAGGCACCAAATAAGGTAACCAAAATAAGCACCTGCAAGTTAATTAGAATTGTGCACTCCTTTACGTCTTAAAATATTACTTTAAGTGTTTTAGTTCAAAAGTTTGCCAGTCTGTCTTAGGCATGCTTCGGGGCCTGGGCATGCCCAGTTTTGATTTTGGGTGTTTTTAAAAATATAATAATAAATAATAAATTATTATTATTATTATTATTATTATTATTAATAATAATAGAATATCATAGACATTCCTATAAATAACCAATAGTCATGTCTCCATTCACCATACACTTTATACAAGCAGGTATCATAAAGTCAATTGTTTCATCGATATTACGTTCTGTCTACCTGAACAGATACACTATTATTGCGATTTTTAGCTCTTAGGATTTTTAGCTCTTAGGATTTTTAGCTCTTATTTTCTGATAACAGAATATTCATTTGATAACAGAATATTCATTATCATTCTGATAACAGAATATTCATTTTCAAACCTTGCGGCAGTGGATAAATTTCTTCCAATGTTGCATAGCAAATTGTTTTATTTTTATGCCGCTCCTAAAAAATATTGGGTGTGTGAAATATTGTACAGTGGTACCCCGCAAGACGAACGCCTCGCAAGACGGAAAACCAGCTAGACGAAAGGGTTTTCCATTTTGGAGGCGCTTCGCAAAACGAATTTCCCTATGGGCTTGCTTCGCAAGACGAAAGCCCATAGGGAAATCTCTGGGGACCTCTTTTAAATGCTAGCGGTGGGGAGCAAAGCCTTTCCCCCCCCTCCGGCCTTCAGAAGAGGTCCAGGAAGGCTGGCGGGGGCCGAAAGGTTTGCTCCCCACCGCCAGCATTTTAAAAGCAGTCCGGGATAGCAGGGAAGCACTTCCCGCTATCCCGGACGGCTTTTGAAGGCAGGAGAGGTCCGCGAAGCCTGGGCGCGCTGATCTCAGCACGCGCAGGCTTCGGCATGCCGGCAACTCTCCGCAAGCAGCGGCAGCGGCTGGCTGCCGCTGCTTGCGGAGAGGTCCGCGAAGCCTGGGCACGCTGATCTCAGCGTGCGCAGGCTTCGGCATGCCGGCAACTCACCGCAAGCAGCGGCAGTGCTGCCGCTGCTTGCGGAGAGGTCCGCGAAGCCTTGGCCGGACAGCTTTTGAAGGCAGGCGGGGGGGAGCAAAGACTTTTGCCCCTGCCAGCCTTCAGAAGAGGTCCTGGACCTCTTCTGAAGGAGGGCGGGGGCAAATGTCTTTGTCCCCCCTGCCTGCCTTCCCGCAGCGCATTTCTCCGCTCTCCCGGGAGGGCTTTTAAAGGCAGGCAGGGGGGACAAAGACTTTCGCCCCCCGCCAGCCTTCAGAAGAGGTCCAGGACCTCTTCTGAAGGCTGGCGGGGGGCAAAAGTCTTTGTCCCCCCTGTCTGCCTTCCCAGGGGCTTTTAAATCGCCCCGGACAGCGGAGAAGTCCTCCGCTGTCCGGGGCGATTTTAAAATGCCGCCCGCCAGCATTTTAAGATCGCCCCGGACAGCGGAGAAGCCCTCTGCTGTCCCGGGGTTTTTTAAAATGCTGGGGGTGGGAAGAAAAGCCCTTGTCCCCCCCCAGCCTTCAGAAGAGGTCGGGGGACAGACTGTCCCCGGACCTGGTCTGAAGTCGGTTTCCCTAGGAACGCATTAATTGATTTTCAATGCATTCCTATGGGAAACCGTGCATCGCAAGACGAAAAACTCGCAAGAAGAAAAAACTTGCGGAACGAATTAATTTCGTCTTGCGAGGCACCACTGTACTTCGTTATTCTATGCCACACCCTGTTTCTCCATTTTCTCTATGTCAGCAGTTCTCTCCCCACCCTCACACCAGTTTTTGGCCATTGAAACATTGGCACAGGCAGGAATCAAGAGGCGAGGGGAGATAGCTCCATCATGCAAGCACTGTGTTGAATTCTTCCCCATATATTTGCTTGGGCCACTACACAGTATATAAGCAGGCATTCCTAAAAAGAAAAACAACCAGTTTTTCTACTTTTGCACATATAAACCTCATATAACAGATTTTATTACAATCTGTTGTATACTGCCTTGATATCCTTTTATGAAGTTGAGGATTATAAATACAACACACTCGTCACAGGGCCAGCCCTACCATTCGGCACAGTGAGTCAGCTTCCTTAGGCAGCTCATTTGAGATGTAATGAAAGGGCAGCAAATTACTAGACATCTGTCACTGCATGCTTACTGCCAGGGAAAGGTACCTGTGAGATTTTCTGCCTAAAGTGGCAAAATAACTCAACCAACCAGGAGTGCTTTGTAGCTTGACATGGAGGGGTGAGGGTGGTGTTATCTACTGCTCTGCCTCAGGTAGGAACATGTTTTGTGATGGCCCTATACAGCTGTATGCATGCTCCATCATCCCTGACCACTGGTCCTGCTAGCTAGGAGTGATGGGACTTGTAGTCCAAAAACAACTGGAGACCCATGTTTGGGAAACTCAGTGGTAAGGGAATCCAGTCAATGTTTTATGTGCTCCAGTTCACCACAGTCTTGAATAGTTTGAGCCCACAATCTACACAAAGCTCAGGAGCTCTGGAAGCTCTGGAAAAGGTGTACCTATGGGTTGGAGAAATGGGAGCATACAAAAATCACCTGTCAGGCATTGGAAGTCATCCTGTGACACTTGGATCACACACACCCTCCCCCCACCCTTGGCTCAGCACACCAGTACCTGCTTTGCCAGAAGAAATCCACCAGGATCTCTACCAGGAAAAGCTGCTGCTTCTGCGGGAAGTAACAGAAGGGGGTAGAGAGGTAGAGAGCAGCCACAAGGAGGGGCATTTCTCCTGTCCAGGAGGGGGCACTGATACAGCTCGTTGCCAAAGGTGCAAGGGACCTTAGATACGCCTCGTGCTGAGGAGACTGTGCACTGAGGCAGGTGATGAGATCTATTTCTGACCAACTTTTCTTATGCCTAACATGTGTTCAGGTTCGTCCTATGAAAGATGGATTGGTCACCAACCTTCGTGCAATTAGTACACATAGGAGCCAACTCTACCCTCCACCCCAATAAATTATTTGAGGGTGCCTCCCCTGCCCAAAGTTGATGAACGTTGCCATTCAAGTGTGGTGTGTATGTTTATGTATCTTGTGGTTGCTTATGCAGGGTGGGGCTTACCTGCCCCCTCTCCCAATATTTTATTCAAGTTGGCACCCCTGATAGTACAGAAAAATAACCTACAGAAATTAACTATGGCCTGGTTTATATGCCTTTAGGAAGGAAATGGCTTCTGTGTGGCAGACCCTGCTTCAGCATTCTGTGCTTTTCTTAACCCATCACAGCAGCTCCTCCTTTCCCCGCTGCATACCATTCTGCAAATGTGCACAGAGTGGCAGCCTAATAAAAGTGTGCTGTGCAATTTTCAAATTCTCTCTCCATATGTGTCTCCCCCCACTCGTCTCCCTCCCATTTATTTCCCTTTTGTGCGTTCCTTTATAGTCTCATTTTTTGTTCTGGAAAACTTTAGACTTCAGTTAAGATAAGCTTCACGGAAATGGTAACAGTAATTAGCACATACAAGGGCAAGTTCCTTGGGGGATTTCGAAATAAGAACTTTCCCTACCGAGATAAATAGTGGCAACGTGGAAATCAAAATGTTTTGGTAGCACTTGATAGAACCACAAAGACTCTCCAGTGAATTTTATCACATGGCTATGGACGCTTGTTCAGTGCTCCGCATAATAAAGAAATGTCTAATGTCAAAACAATTGCCTCAGAAACCTAAGATAAGTCTTTATGAAAAGTGCGAAATCTTAACACAAAAGAAAGGCCTGCTGTTTCTCCAACTGCCTAAACAAATTGAAATAGGCAAGTTTTTAAAAATATAATCTCTCTCTCTGATAACTTAATTTCTTAAATGGGGCCCTATATGAGTGCTCTTGAGCAACAGTGGGGGGAAAAACAAGGAGTGTCAGATAACACTCTGTGTATTTATTGTTTCAGTTCTTTGCCTTTTAACTATTACAGTGTTCCATTTCTCTTTCAATCATTTTAGGAACAGTTTAAGTACTGCTTGCCCTCCTCTATCATGGCAGTGACCCTATTATTCTATTATATAATGCAGCGCAGGGTAATAAAAGAGACACCCACAATCATTAATGCACGCCAATACGTTCTCCCTTTAATCTTCCAGCATCTCTTTGCCTCTGTATGCGTAATTAGTACACGGAGATAAACTGCTTTTCAGCTATGTTTGATTTATTCAGTGTGGTGTAATTATAAATAAATTGAATCAACGAATACTGAATAAATCAGTTTCTGCCGAGAGAAAATTGAAACTGGTGGCCTTTCGCACAACGGAATCACTCTCTTGTTTGTCCTTTGATAGCTGTTAAAATTTCACTCTGTAAATATTTCTTTGTAAATTAGCTGACAATATGGAAATGCTCTTTATTCTCTGCGAAGTATACACAAATTGTTGTGCCTCCCCCCCCCCCCCCCGGATATGCACATAGTTAGCAAACATAAATAACTGCAAAATAAGCCGTTTTGGGGGGTTGCTGCTGCTGTGCCAAATAGAATTAATTGTGATATTCTTTAGAATTGTATCTGCGGAAGGGCCTGATATAATTTGCTGATAGTACAGGAAATACAAGGAGAGGGCATTGCAAAGTACGTTATCTTCCTTAAATACCACCCTATTAAAAAGCACGGGACGGGTCAGAATGTTTCCATATATGATTTATAAGTACAAGCTGCAACCATGACCCAATATGGGCAGTGTCTGATTTCTAGAAAAAGACATAAAGGTAAAGGTAAAGGAACCCCTG